AATTTGTACTTTGCATGTATTCTCGTGCGTGTAATGGTTCTTTATGATTTAATAAATAAATGACACCAACCTGATTGTGGGATTAAAAAAAAAAAAAATAATAATAATTTTCAATTATATATTATATATTATTTAAAAAAATTTTTTAATTACAAGTTATATAGATTTAATTTTTTTTGAAAATAATGTCGTCATGATTATTCTTTCCTTAAAAGTTGTTCAAGAATTAATTTTTTTTCAAAAAAAGCACTAAAGTCTCGTTGGTGTAGTTGGTTATCACGTCTGTCTAACACACAGACGGTCGTCAGTTCGAATCTGACACGAGACAAAAAATTTTTTTTTTTTTTTCCTCGATCTAGCTTACTTTATTGAGGCCATGCCCAAGTACATAAAATAATACATAAGGCATTGATAACCACAATAAAACTTGTAATATGGAAGGTGAAGTTTCACGCGAAGAAAAGCTTTTGGCAGGAAAGAAGAAGGTTTTTAATTTCCTCATTGACTTGAGCAACCTCCTTGCTGATCCTCGAAACCATAAATTCTTTCAAAAAATCATAAGATTAAATAAATAAATATATATGTATATTGTTGATAGTTTAAAAAACTTCAAAAGAAAAAGGCCACAAGCGTCACGGCAGAAACTTCTCCTATATCGACTCGTAGAAAGAGTACAGATTCTGCAGCAGCTTCGAGTACAAGAAGATCGAGTGTCACTTCGGATTCTGGAAGCGTCAAAGCAGAAGTGACAGAAGGAAAAGCGCAAGAGTAGGTTTTTTTTTTTAAAAAAGAAAATTTTGATCCACTGCTCAAAGTTTCAATTGACGAAATAGAGTATATGGTCAAGATGCCAAATGAAGAATTAAAAAAAAATACAGAACATCTAAGACTGAACTCTTTAGGAGCAATGATATGACTTCATTATTCTGATGGCAAAAGACTTGATTATTCCATCATAGTAGATGAATTTGCATGGTTTTAACATTTTTATTTCCGAACAGAACCATTAAAAATGCTGACGAAAGTTCAAATGTCGCGAATTTTTCCCCTGAAGCATCGGGTGAAGTTTTGCAGTAAGTTTTTTTGGGAGAAAAATTTAATCAAGTTTATGTATTATCTGATCGCAATTAATCAATGCTTCCAGGGACCCTTCTTCGGGAATAAGCCAAACGACACATAGTTCACTCGTCGAGGGTCATCAACCGATCACTTATTCTCACGCACAGCAATTGCAGACAGATATTTTATCAAAACCAATCGACATAGCCCCTACAGAAAATACGGCTTTACCAACTGGTATTTCTGGAGATGAACCAGTTTCTTATGAATCTCTCGCCAACATATGTAGTGTGCAACAACAAACCATTGCTCTATTAGTTGAAGAAAAGACAGCACTGGTATCAGATCTAGGAAAATATTCGGTTATGGCCGACCGATTTAAAAGTAGCGAAGAATTTTTGGAGGAAGGTCGATTGCTGGTTGATGCTTTACGACGACAAAACGGAGAATTGGAAGAAAAGATTAAAAGCAGCGATGATCGATTGAGAGAAGCAGAAGAACAAAAAAAAAAGATAATAGAATCTTTACAGTCACAGGTAAGATCTTTTTAAATATTTCAAATTTTTGAGACATATTCATAACACCTATTCCTAATATCGTTTTTAGAATGCACGCGTGGAACAACTTGAAAAGGACAATAAACAGCTGTTATCTCAGTTGAACACTAAAGATTCCATAATTGAACAATTGACTGCAGAAAGAGCAAAAATCCGAACTACCTCGGAGGAGGTAGAGGCGCTTCAAAAATCTCTTCAGGATAAAGAGGATCGTTGCGAAGCACTGGAAATAGAATTGTCTAATCTGAGACATCAATTTACTAATGCAGAACAAGAACTTAAGGAAAAGGGAAACAAGTTATTAATAACTGAGCAAGATGCACACGAAAAGCATTCGAAATTTGAATCAATGGCTAATCAAATTCAATCACTGACCGAGATCCACAACGATACAAACCAGAAACTGGAAAAGAAATCAAGCGAGTTTGAGGTTATGTCACGAGAATTTGCTGAACTCAACGAGCAACTTTCCATGAAATTATCCGTAATTGATGAATTACAACGTGACCGTGATAACTTGACGTTGGAATTACAAGCTTCTCAATCAGAAAATTCGAAAATGACAAAACGCATTAAAGATCTTACGACAAAGATTGATGGCTTGTCTTTGGACAATCGTAATTTATTGTCTCAGTTAACCGAGCTGAGGGGAAAATTTGTGGAAATAAGCAATGATAAATCGGTATTGGTCGAAGAAGTAGACAGGGAGAAATCAAGGGCCAACAGGTTAGAACAGGAAATTGCAAAAATACAAGAACAGCTTTCTCTAAAAGGCTATGGGGGCACACTAAAAACGAATGGGACAAGTCGTGAGGTGGGTTCTAAAGCATCAGCCAATTATTTATTAAATCAAGAACACAAACAGGATTTGCATCAAAGTGATTCAATGCCACACAAAGTGATTTCCTCACAACACAGTGCAAATCATCGATACGCATTTTCAGAATTTAGCAGTGACTTCGAGATTGGGAAATGTTCGGGGTGCATTGGTGAGGTAATTGTAGTATAATAAAACGTTGAACTCGTAGATTCTTTGATAAAATTAATTATTCTAAAAGTAATAATTAGATTTATTGTATAAGAAATACTAATTCTAGATATCTTACGTAACATGTTAATAAACGAATATAGTCAATGACGTTAATTAGATACATTATTTTACAATGTTTTCTCCATTTGTCAAAGTTAATTGACTGCATTCCTATTCTGTTTTTACCATGTCTTTAAGATAGTATTTACTCAAGAATAATCTTAATTTGGCAAGTTCGTTGGCAATGGTTCGTTGCACTTCAGCACGTAATTCATGTCTTATTCTCTGTATTTTAGGATCATCCATTTCAGCAGTAAATGAGCCTAGGGAATATCGTTGCAGATATTCTTTGTGGAGTTGGTGCTCAGGTGATTGTGGATATGTATCCGCTGACTTAGGAGAGTCAGCTACCGAACCGGTTCGATGTACTGAATATGATGTACTACCAGTTTCAATATCATGGGGTTTCATTTTAGCATCCGAGTATGAGACCACGGATGGCGTATACATGGCGGGCGGAGGTGGAACGCTTTTAAGAATCTATAAAGTATGATATTTGATGTAGATAACTCGAGCTGTCTGAATATGATAATACTGAAAAAAAACGATACATACGTAACGTTGAATGACACCCCATGGATTAACTCTTTGCGAACCGAACAAAATAAAATATCCTGCACTTAAAATGCTCACGAAACCTCCCATATTGGCAGCCAATTGGAGAAGAGAAAATTCAATCCTATCAAGCCAAAGTTGTACGGGGTATCGTTGGGCATTCGTTTTTGGATCTGTGACGTAATTTAAGGGGATAATTCTAAGAAGCTCCCAAAGATGAGAATCGATTCCAAATCCTTCAATAGCGAAGCTGGTAAAACTTGTATCATAAACGATTTTAGCGCCAGGACGTGGTTCGGTAATTCCACTACTTCCACCGGTTCCAACTATTGCATCTGAGAATAAAAAGATAGGAAAACTTTGAAACTTTTTTCTTTTGTTTTAATTCTTAATTCAAAGCCTACCTGATTTCATCGCACTGAAATGTTCTATCCGCTCAAAATAAATATAAGATATAGATGGCTAAGGGAAAAATCAATGTTTTTTTTCATTAAAAATAAACATTAGCATCTTATTGGTCACATGATTGATATAAAATCGCGATCGGGACATATTTTCACGAATCCAAGTATGTTCACAAGAAAAGAAAAAAACGTGAATTTTATTTTTATCAAATCCATTTACCATTTTGACAATTTGGAATTTTGTTTTGGTGGGATCTTCGTTCTCTGTAAAGGTGCCGAAAAAGAACCATCGATCTTGTGTAATAGAGCCTAGCTACTTGAGGAATTATCACATTTTTGTTAAGACAGAAGAAATGCCGAATTTACAAATCAATATTATGAAGTTTTTGAAAGGTTTCCAACCGTATTATTAGCGGCTTCGTTTGACCATAATGCGAGAGCAATTTTTTGTGTGGAATTGTCAAAAACTAGTGGATTTGCCCCATATGATCCGTTAACCACTTGTGAAGGATTGAGTATATCTAAAAAAATTTTTTTAGTATGTGCCAATCATGTAGATTAACAAATAATCCTTTTTTTTTTACACACAACAATATTGCCCGGTAAGATTATCGAATCCTCTCATATTGACAAAGGACGTTGCATCCATTCTATGACTTGTAAAATATGCGTCACAACTTGCACCAAGTTGATAATTATCATCTGCAGCATTGAATGCACTCTGATAGCACAAAGGTCGTCGATCAAGTGTATTCCCGCAGATCGCAATACTAAGAGTATAGGAATATATTAAATTCCTCTACTTATAAGTAATTAAAAAGAAAAAATAAAGGATTTCACCCTGGTACCTAATAAAAGGAACAATAAATTCTTTTAATTTCTAAGAGAGATTTGATTTTAAAAGAAATAGTTATGCGATTATATACTTTACAGGTATATATGATCGTAAAGTAGACTTTATGGAGACCACGGGACTTCTAACTGCTTCGATCATTCTCCAAATATTCCAAGCTATAACAATTTACAGTTAAGTCACAACATTGCTTTTAACAAATAATCAACTAGTCTTTCGGAAGTTAGATGATTACCTCCATATGTAGAAGTCAACAATGCGATAAAAATTAATATAAGCAATCTCACTTTTCCTTCTTTTTTTCGTACTTCTTTGTCAAAAGTATAAGATGCCTCAAAAGATTTAACCTTTTCTTCTGGCTGCCCATCATATTGTGAAGTCATGACTTATTTTTTTCGGTGAAATCTAGGTTCTGGAGAAAAGAAATTGGAAAAAGAGCAGGGGAAAAAAAATAGGGTAGGTCGTTGGGAGATTGCATAAATATATTTTTTTAGATGTATTGTTAAAAAATTGAATTCGTTACAAAAAACATACATTAAAGCATTACTCTTTCTGGAAATTTATTAAGAGTCAAACGAATGTGATATGCACAATAATCTACATAGCGTTTTCCTCGTTTATACGCGGCTTTTTTCAGCGATTAACCTAAACGGAAGAATTCAGGTTATAAACCCTGTAATGCTTAGCGCCATGATCACGGATTCTAAAAGTTATATAGTAAACAATAAAAAAAAATAATCATACCATAGATCAGAAAAATTATTTGTTTGTAAATACATTATATAAAAATACCGTAATTTACTCCTAATCAGGCTGCAAGCCGAAATATGTTATATTATAATAATTTTTATTTTTATTTTTATACAGTACATGTAAATCAAAAATAATTAAACAGTATTTTTTATTTATAATTTAATGATTATTTAAATTAAATAAAAATCTATAAATAATTAAACAGTATTTTTTATTTATAATTTAATGATTATTTAAATTAAATAAAAATCTATAAATATATTGGTTGAATATGATATACTGTATGCATTATAAACAATATATAATTAAAATTTTATTTATTAAAACTTATTAATAAAAATTTTAATTTAATTTAAAATCAAAAAAATTTTTTAATATAATATAATATCTACAATATATATAGTATCAATAATTAATATTATGCTTAATAAAGTCAACACATTTAATGCTTGTCAAATATATATATATTTATTTATTTATATTTAATTTAATTAATTAGGTCTTGTCTAATATATTTTTTTATTTTATTTACATATGTATTTTATATATCATTAAATTATATTAATTTTACTTTATATTGGTATATTATTGTCAATATTATTTCAAAAAAGTATAGTTAAGATTAATATATCAAAAACTTTATTAATATTGCTATTATATACAGTGTGGTACAAAAAATTTTGAAATTTTTTTTTATTCATTACTCAAAAACTACTACATAGAAATTAATAAAAAATATATCAAAATAAAATTTAAAATTTAAAGATTTTATTAATATATAATTAATAATTAATTCTTTTCCTATTATTTTCAATTATTAATTCACATTTCTTTTTTATTAAATTTATAAAATTATTTAAAATCTTGTTTGAAATTTTATTCCATTCTTCTATTATAAATTATTCAATTTTAAAATATTTTTTAATAATATTATTTCTATATTTTTTTTAGTGATAGCTCAAAAATTTTCAATAATATTTAAATCTGGACTATTAGAAGGCCAATCAATAATTTCAGAAAAATTTTCATTTAAAAATACTTTAGCAATTTTACTTGTATACTTGAAATCATTATCTTGTTAAAAGTACCAATTGTTTTCAAGTAGTCTATTAATTTCTTGTTTATAATTTTGCAAAATATTGATATAAAATTTTGCATCTATAATTTCTTTAAAACAAAAAGAAAAGTTTTTCATTTTATACAAAATCCTCCTTATATAAAAATTTTAATATGATCTTTAGGCATTCTTTTAACTAATCTTATATTTTTATATTATTGAATAATTGTATTTCTAAATAGTTAAAATGTTGTTTCATCAGAAAATAATATTTTTTTTCAGTTATCATTAATATATTTTTTGTCCAAATAATACAAGCTTCTTTATGAATAATAGTAAGTATGTGTATTTCTAAAGATAAATTATTTTTATAACTCATATTGATCAAATGTCTTAAAATTGTTGAATGTGATACTTTGGTATTAATATTTAATAATTTAATTGTCAAAGTTTTTGAGAAAAGTCTTAAATTATAACATAAATATTAATCAATTGCTTTTGATTTATGTATTATAATCTTTTTAAAATGATTACTATCAAATTTTCTTAAATTATTACCTTTTGAATTCTATTTTTTGAGATTGTAATAAATAGTTGACATGTTTATACCAGTTTTGAAATATATTTCATATGCAGAAGTAATTTCATTATTTTACAAATGTAATATAGTTTGTTATTAAGTATTTTTTTTAGAAGATAACATTGTAAAAATAAGTTTATAACAAAAATAAAATAATTAAATAATTTTAAGTACTTATATATATTGTTTAGAATATTTTATTTATATATTTAAAATTTCATATAAATTGCTTTTGTTTTGAAAAAGTTATATATATTTATATTATATAAATAATATTCCAAAATTTTTTGCATTATACTATACTATAGGTATATTGTATAATTTAAATGTTTTGCTCTTATTATATAAAATATTTAGTTTTTAAGTATATTATGTAATATATCTTAGATTCTGATTTTCTTGAATTTTATAAATCAAAAGATTATAGAATATTTGTTATAAGAGTATAATAAAATTATGTTTTTTTAGACAAGTAAATTAATAACACAATGGATAGTACTTCCTGGTTTCCAAATGCATGTCCCTAGTTCAATACTCACAGGAGGCAAAATATATAAAATTTATCCTTTATTTGTGAATTTACCAGTTTTCCTACAAATGTTGTACTCCAAACATCTAAATCTTAATCAAATTTAGTTAGGCTGCATGAAAATGGAACCTCTGGTTTTTTTGATAATTGTGGACTAAAAACAGATTGAAGTAGAGAAGGTTGCATGAGAAAAGGCTTTTGGTCTAACTTTGATAAAAGCCCACAAATCCTCCTGGCATAGCAAATCCCATAGTACAAAAAATACTTTAACCTGGGGCTATTCCAATCTGATGCTTGCTTAAAAGAAGATAATCCCTACAAAAAAAGTTGAAAACCACAAGTAGTGACAAGAAGTACAATACTTTCTTCAAGAAACCAGACAAAAAGTATTGAATAGATTATCCAAGTATTCTAACTAATCTTGAAAGGTAAATGCTTCAAATGACTACCACCAGAATCTAGATTAGGTTAGATAGTTTAAAACTAGTAGTAAAATTTCTATCTTCTAAAGATTCCATCCAATATATGGATCTACTTCAGCAGTGGATAAATTGATATAACTGAGTAAAGCTATAGATGGGAGTATAGGTTAACTTAAATGAATTCTGTAATTATATAATTGGATATAAATAACTCAATAAAGATTATATGCTGCTAGTGTTCTTTACCTGAAAAAAAAATAATAATAATAAAAAAATAAATAAAATTATGTTTTTTTGATCTATATCTTTTACTACTATAATTGTATTTATTAAACTATAATCTTTTATAACTTTTTTAAAATAGTACTATTAGCAGATCTATAATTAATATTAATATTTTAAGTTTAATTAAAACTTTGTATAACATGTCTAAATTAATAGTATTAAATGTTTTAATTGTGTTTTGAAAGAAAATTCAAAATTCTTTTTTTTGTTCTCTTGTTTTTTACAAATATTATTGAGAAGTTATATTAATTCTTATATACTTTTTTCTGAAAGTCTTATAAAATTTAATTCTCTAAAAATATTTTTATTCTTTAGTATAAATAATAAATCTATTTATAATTAACTTTATAAAATATTTTATATTATTTTTATTAATATTGTTAATTTAATATTGTTAAAAACAACTATCTAATTTTTTAACAAATAGTTTCTTATGTTTTCTTTGCTCAAAGGTTTTTCAAATAATATATCTGTTTATAGTGACAGGCCAATATGTATAGTCATATATTTCATCTTTTTTGATTTTGTATAAAATGTATTATATTAATTATTTACTAATCAATAAAATATGAGGAAAACCTCACT